TTGTAATACGAGTTTATTTTGGGATTGCTCTTTTAAAGAAAGGACCATCAAGGAAGTCCTTCCTGATGACAACCACGGTACTAGAACAGAGAACTGAGTTACAGCAATAAGCTGTGCAGAAGCCGTGCTAGAGATTTGCAAATGTACTGTAGACATGAACTTGAAGGGACTTAGAACAGCTAAGGTGATTCCATGTGGGCAACTGGATACCCTGTACACGTCCTGAAAGGAATAGTGGTTTGTTTCAGGGATTAATCATCAAAAGGGAGCACAGAAACCAAGGAAAATCTATTCACTCTTTGACCTACAGCAAGATAACCGAGACTAGAACCAAAATGGGGTTCACTGGCTTGGGAAGAACGTCACTGGGGATCTTTCCCTGAATGTCGTGGGAGCAGTGTATTGAAATAAAATAGCTATCTTTTAAAGAAGTTTGGTTATGTAGAGAACACGGGTTGGTCACTAAAGAACACCATGGGGTCAGTGGTACACCTGTTTTCCTCGTTTAAAAGGTAAAATAGATCAGCTTTCACATATTGAACAATCTGTAGAAAGAGAGTTAATGGTTAGATCAGGTTCTTGAGGTGTAAAGAGACTGAGCATACCCAGGAGAGGAACCTCCTAATAAAAGACTACAAAGGGAAAATAGAAGTGTAGCAGATGGAAATGATTGTGGTTTGAATGCAGAGTCTGATTTTAAAGCTTGTTGATCTCCATTTTCTCTGAGAAGGAAACTAGAGGTCATTAGAGTTTAAATAGAGCAAATGGGAATAAGGGGTGCCTAAAGGTAAGCTGAAGACCTCTTCGCAGGGGCACTTGGCTGGCTCAGTTGGAAGAGCATGTGGTGCTTGATCTTGGGGACGTGAGTTCAAGCCCAAAGTAGGGTGTACACATTACTAAGAAAATACATTTAAAAACTTAAAGAAAAAAAAAAAAAAGCTGCCCAGAAAGTCTTGCTAACGTTGTGGACAAAGTCCTCGCAAAAGTAGAGACTCTGTGTTGAAGAGAGTTAGCTGGCTTTCAGTTCAGCCAAAGAGGCAGCATGGAGTGAGAAGGGCCAAGAAAATAAACCAGACAATTGCAGAAAAAACTGGCAGGCACGGGTAGAGGTTTGGTCAAAGGAGACAGAAGCCCATAACTTTGAGGGGTAAGAATATGGCAAGACATAGAGAACTAGAAGTACTTAACATTTTGAATCGTAATCAAGAGTGATAAGAGAGTATTAGCTAGTCTCAATTTAAAATAATGTATTAAAATGTACCTTTATCAGGGTGCCTGTGTGGCTCAGTCAGTCTGATTCTTGATTTCGGCTCAGGTAATGATCTCAGTCGATGAGATGGAGCCCCCTGTCAGGCACTGTGCTGACAGTACTGAGCTTGTTTGGGATTCTCTCTCTCTCTCTCCCTCTCTCTCTGCCTCTCTCCTGCTTGCGTTTTCTCTCTCTCAAAATAAATAAATAGATATTTTTAAAATGTACCTTTTCCAAACACTTTTCATAGCCATTGCCTCTGGGAAATGGCAAAGGGTAGTAGGGTAGACTGGGAGACTTTTACCTTTAACTTTACATTCTTTCATACTGTTAGGAAAAGATTTGACACCATGAGCATATGTCATAATTATTACTAAAAAGCTAGATAGGAGTGCCTCGCTGTCTCAGTGGAGCATCCAACTCTTGAACTTGGGGTGGTGATGTTCAAGCCCCATGTTGGGTATAGAGATTACTTTATTATTTTTTAAGTTTATTTATTTATTTTGAGAGAGACAGAGACTGTGTGAGTGAAGAGGAGCAGAGAGAAGGAGAGAGAAAGAATTCCAAGCAGGTTCTGGGGCACCTGGGTGGCTCATTCGGTTAGGCGTCCGACTTCAGCTTGGGTCATGATCTCACAGTTCGTGGGTTCGAGCCCCGCATCGGGCTCTGTGCTGACAGCTCAGAGTCTGGAGCCTGTTTCGGATTCTGTGTCTCCCTCTCTCTCTGACCCTCCCCTGCTCACACTGTCTGTCTCTCTCAGAAACAAATAAAAAAATTAAAAAAAAAAAAAGAATTCCAAGCAGGTTCTATGCTGTCAGCACAGAGCCCAATGTGGGGCTCGAACTCACAAACCGTGAGATCATGACCTGAGTTGAAACCAAGTGTCAGATGCTTAACTGACTGGACCAACCAGGCTCCCTGGGTTTACTTAAAAAAAAAAAAAAGTAGATAGAGTATGTATGTATGTAGATTTATGGTTGGAAGAGGAAAATCATTAGAATCCAAAGGTCATACCTCATTTTCCACTCTAAAGCTCTCTATTAACCTGCAAAGTTGATTTCCTGACACATTTTCTCTTGTATTCCTCCACTCTAATTCACTTAGGACTGAATGCAATGTTAACATACTTCAGCGAGAAAAAATAATTATCAAGAGAATAAATTTTACACAGCACAGATTTTTCTACTTAATTAACTCAACTGTACAATGTAGGAAATGTCACTGAGGGTCACTGAGAGGACTCTAGGAGCTGGTAAGATTGACAAAGTAAAGATAATAGTGCTTTCCTATTAAGGGACCTAAAAGTCTTAACTACTTTTAAAGGTTAATCCGGAAAACTTCCAAAGTCAACTGTTTACTTTACCTATCCTTTCACAGTGTTCCATGACCCTAACTGAATTAAATCAAATGCGTGACTTTTATCTAAAACATGAAGAAAACAGGAATGCCTGGCTGGCTAGTCCATAGAGCACACAATTCTTGATCTCAGGGTGGGGAGTTCAAGCCCTACGTGGGGTGTAGAGCTTACGTAAAAAGTAAAAGACAGCAAGTAGGTAACCAAACAGACAAATCACTAATAAATAAATAACACATGCAGAAAACGGAGGGGGAGGTTCTGTCTTAAAGTTCCACCACTTAGGTCGATAGTGATTTACTTGGTTCTCAAGTTGTGTTGTAGGAATACTAAAAAATACGCCAAGTTTAGGACAATGAGAATTAGGTTTTCATATTTGAAGGTAGCACTTGTTATTATAGCACTCATTGAGCAAGATCTTGGATAATTATCTTAATATTTATCCTGCATTGGCTCTTAAGCTATCGAGGGATTCCAAAATGGGAGTTTTATACATTCTTCAAAGAACTGTTTACTGGCATGTAGGTCTAGTCTAAACACTGAGAAAATGGATGCTGTAACCTGAGCAATTCTTCACAGCCATCAGCCAAATTTTGTACAGGATTGCCGTTAGTAAACGGCTTACGTGGCTTTTATTGGTTTATGGATCAAAATGTTCCTTAACTTTGACAATTCGAATTTCGTTAATTCTATCTTGTTTACTTGCAACCCTAGTTTTTATGGCAGGTGGTTTGTGGAGAAAGCTGATACAACCCTAGGCTAACTGAGGGTTTTTATTTGCCTTATGCAAGGTATCTTTCCCTGTATATGCAGGAATTCTCTTGCTACTGCGAACCTCCTCCTCTCCTTTGTTATTTGTGGGGGAGTGCTGGGAAAGTCTTGAACTTCTCCACTCCTCCTAAGCACAGATTTTACCACTATTTACATGTGAGACTGAAATGCACTGGTGACACACGCCAAAGGATTTGTTAGCATAGAAAATCCTTTTAAAGCATGTTTTAGTCCCTAGTAATTGGCTGTATCTTTCTGGGTTTCTCCACCAAAGCTATTTTTCATATTTTGATAGCAAGGGTAATTTGTTATAGATACAGGTGCAGAGAACTTGGCTTTTTGTCTTAGTCCTCTTGACACGTGATTACTGAATTGCTCTTCCTTCATTTAATGTCCTACTTTACTACAGGACGTTCACCAGGTTTGAAAAGCATGTATTAAACAATAGGCAGGGCAACCATTCTTTCGTCTGAATGAATAGTGCCATAAACACTACAGTCTACAGACCGGCTGAAGAAGCTAATTTAACAACTGCCTGTGTACGTTAACCAGCTGAGGGATAGTTCTATGGCATTTTTTAAAGGATGAGATATTTTATAAGAATTAAGAGAGCTTAACATAATTACAATGGAATGCCAAGTCATTTAGTTTTTAGTATGAAGAAATGCAAACTTGGGCAGCGTTTGAAGTTAAATGACCCAAGCAGTATTACTGGGAATGGTGGTGGTATAAACTCAATGGAATTTCAGCGAATGTAAAAAAAAAAAAAAAAAGAGGGGAGAAGAGCAAAATTCTTTTCAGAATTTATCCTTAAAGATGAAACAAACATCAAAGCCAATTCTAGAGGAAGGCTGGAAAACTTCCACGCGGTTACTATGAAATTGATTGCATGCATTAAAAGAAATCTTGTCAAGAAAAAGAAGTTATTTTAATAATTTATTTATTTATTTTAAAAAATAAATTATTAAAATAGCAAGGATAGTACATCATTTATATGGTGTCATTGGGCAAATATGTCCAAACGCTTTTAAGGATTCAGTGGTCTTAGTGGGAAATGTGCTTGTTCTGGAGCATGGACAGAACTATTCAGTGTTTTTCAAAACACATGTTTAAAGATACTCTCATAGGGGTGCCTGGGTGGCTCAGTTGGTTAAGCGTCCGACTTCGGCTCAGGTCATGATCTCACGCTTTGTGGGTTCGAGCCCCGCGTCAGGCTCTGTGCTGACAGCTAGCTCAGAGCCTGGAGCCTGCTTCGGATTCTTAGTCTCCCTCTCTCTCTGACCCTGCCCTGCTCACACTGTGTGTCTCTCTCTCAGAATAAATAAAACATTAAAAAAAATAAAGATACTCTCATAATTATATACTCCTGGTATGTGATATTTTAATTATGAAAGTGTCAAACACAAACAGTAGTATTAATCCCCATGCAGCTATCTCTCAGATTCAGCAATTATCAAGATTTTCCGACAATTCTCAAATATCAGGCCATTCACTGTTTCATCTGTTAGGACGCATCCCTCAAACTGGTATCACCTTAAAGGTATTAGCACATATTACAAAATATAAATAAACCTTCTTCAATATCTCTAATCTGGGATATTGCCTACAATTTCCTATCAGAAATACCTCAGGGGAAGGGCACCCGGGAATGGAGAGGCATACATCTCCTCTGAAGGCAGTTGTGTCTGTGCAATTTTCTTCTTAATGCCAAGTTAGCTGAGTTAAAAAAAAAAAAAAAAAAAAAGAGGGGGGAATATTAGGAGCATTTTTCAGAAAATGAACTGTTATTTAACCTAGAGGATGTAGGGGGATATTTTGGATCCAAACTATATTGTGATTATTTGCTGCTTGTCCCGATGTGATTGTGGCATAAAAATTAATGCGATGCAGAGACCCAGAGCATATTCCTAACAGTTCATGTTAATATCAGCATCTAGCAGTCATAATCTCCTCCACCCACAGGACTTCTTCCTAAATGCTTGGATTTTTCATCTCATGTAGTGAATTAATCACAGGTATTTTATAAGAACACTGTCCAAGGTGTTCTGTAGTTCAGAAAAGTTTGATTAGCAATTGCTATAAATTAGAAGGGATCAACTGCTTTCCAAATTGCTGATTTGGAAATGTTTCTTATTTATGTAAAAGGGCAAACCAGGGGACATCATCCAAAATAACCTCAGTGATCAAACTTCTGTTTAACTAAAAGGCAGAGACTGAATTTTTAACCCGTTATGCAACATTGTCCACTCTAAACGGAGAAGTACATTACCATAAAAAAAAAAATCTAACATATTTGGAATGGATATTTTCACCTTTCTATTTAAGTCTGGGTTGCTCTTTCCTGAGTCAGAAAACTATTCTTTTTTTTTTATGTGCTATTGCTTTGAAATCTTAGATATTTGGTTTTGAAGTAAAAGCACATTAGGATAACTCTACATACTAAATTCCTGTTGGTTAAGAACACAACAGATATCATCTTTGAAAAATGTGTCAAGTAAATTAACATTATCTTGATTATAAATATTTTTGATATTTTTGGCTCTGTAAGCACAATAATACTAAACCTCGTATTTTTAATTGAGACATCTAATTATATAACCACAAATAACAGCTACAATAACCTGTTATAAGATTTTATCTGCATTTTGTCACATGGTGTTCATGTTGTTAATTCAAGTTATTAATATTGCCCTACTCTAGCCAGCAAAATGTTCTTCCAATAAACTGCTTTGAATTTTGTATTTTACCTAAAAATCTGTAAGTCTGTTTACCTCTGTAATGAATAGACCAAACGGTCTATTTCTTTTTACTTGTAAGGACAACATATCTAAAATTGCTTCGGAATAAATTTTCTCTGAATTTAGAAAAACAGTGGCAAAATATTTATCATCATTTTAAAATCCGTCAACTTTAAAAAATATACAAATAATAGACCTAAAAGGAGAGATAGCATAGTTCCGAAATCCTACACATTTACCCCCAATGCCTCTAAGCGCACCTAAGAGCTTTTCAACAGGACATAATCGTGCTCAGACCCACGAACCCAAACAGGCATAAACAAGATACTCGGTACAAATGTATCAAAGTCCTACCTGGTCTCTGTCCGTTGATAAGAAGAAGACTCATCACAAAAATACAAAATGCAAAAAAGAATTGTTGCAACCTCATTTTTCTGCCACACGGGAGCGGAGCAATAGCTCTCGGCGTAAACCAAACAATCTTTGAATAGTCTGGGCAATATCTGTGTGGCTCTCCTCACATCCTAATGACGAGCCTCAGAGAACTGCCAGCTGCGTTTTCCAGAAAGGTTAATGATCACATCAGACAAGGTTACTGGTGCTGTGGTCGAGCCTCCCTCGGTCTCAAACCCCTCCTCCCCTCCTCTCCTTCCCCCTCCCCCGTCACTCCCCTTTATTTCCATAAGCAAATATTGGTGAAATAAACCATTCAAGCGTGCTGTAATGTAGCGGAAGTCCACCGAGAAAGTTCCTAGGAGAGACTGACGACGATCTGGATGTGGAGAAATATGTAAAACAAGGCAGGGCTTTGCCGCCACTCCTCACCATTTGCATCTGTTTAAACTTTGAATTGCCCATATTGGTCCCACATGCAGAAACCAATCGAAATGACAGGAAGTCTCTCTTTTGTCCTTTTCAGAAGGAATTCTGAAGCTCTGACTTAAGGCTCCCAAATACTTTGTGGCAGAACATGTGCTGAAATGCTTTCTCTTTACTAAACCCGCTGCTGAGTGGTGCCTATCTGCTCCAAATCTCTAAATTGCTTAATCTGTGTGGGTTTATATCACCAAACATTCCTGGGGTTTTCGAATGTTCCGAAATAAATCTGAAAAATGTTTACATTTTTATTTTGCAAAGTGCAATTTAAAAAGTAGTGGGGATCACTTTCCTCTGCGATACCATCCAGGACTTTTAAAAGAAAGCCACAAACTCATGAAATCTGGGTTCGGTTAAAAAAAATTTTATATGTGGTGGAATACCAGGCTAACATAGCACAGACACAGAAATGAAACACGGAGAAAAAATCCTCACTTTATCTCCCACTGAATTCAGAAGACAGAACAGTCTAGTGTTGTCTCTTGCACATGTGCTCTGAGACCTTTTGAAGTACTTCCTTGTCATATGTAGCTCTTACAAATGGAAATCATGTATTCACTGTAAAGTGAACCAAAAGGAAAGTATACCAAATCTAGAGCATATGCAACTTGTTACAAACGAACTACCTGGCATTCTGTTGTGTTTTACTTCCCTAGGTTCAGGCAGCTGGCACACAACCTTGAGCTCCTGGAGATTTGATTTTAATGCATGATTTGTCTTAGTTCTTCAAGTCAGTCTGTAAAATTCCCTGCCTGCCTAATTATGCGTGTACTTTATAACAGGCAATCGTATACAGTAGTTCTTCATATCAAAGATGATTTGCCCATTTAATGACTGGAAACATAGTGTTAAGGAGTACTACACTACTGTGCTGTATTTGTACATCGCTCCACAAAATCAATGAAATAAGAGTTTGGACTCATATTAAAGTGTATCAGGTGATGCCTCGGTGGCTCAGTTCGTTGAGTCTGCTTTTGTCCTCAGGTCATGATCTCGAAGTTCCTGAGTTTGAGCTCCACATCAGCTCTTTGGATCCTCTGTTTCTCTCTCTCTTTCTCTCTGATCCTCCCATGCTTGTGCGCATGCTCTCCCCCCGCCAAAATGAATAAAAAAAAAAAAAAAAAAGAAACCTTTTGGGGTGCCTGGGTGGCTCAGTCAGTTAAGTGCCTGACTCTTGACCTCAGCTCAGGTCATGATCTTGTGGTTCATGAGTTCAAGCCCTACATCACGCTCTGTGATGACAACGAAGTGCCTGTGTGTGATTCTGTCTCTCCCTCTCTCTGCCCCTTCCTTGCTTGCACTCTCTCTTTCTCAAAATAAATAAATACACTTAAAAAAAAAAAGTGCATCAGGGTCCCTACCTTGCTCAATCAGAAGAGTATGTAGTTCTTCATCTTATGGTTGTGAGTTTGAGCCCTTTGCCAGGTGTAGAGATTACTTGAAACTAAATAAACTCAAGGGTACCTACATGGTTCAGCGGGTTGAGTGTCTGATTTTGGCTCAGGTCATTTACAGTTTGTGGCTTTGAGACGCACGTATTTTGCGTATTTTGCACTGACAGCGCAGAGCCTGCTTGGGATTCTGTCTCCCTCTCTCTCTGCCCCTCCTCGACTCGTTCTCTTCTTCTTCTCTCTCTCTCCCTCTTTCTCTCTCAAAAGTAAGGAAATATTTAAAAAATAAATAAAAGAGAATAAACTTTTAGAAAAGTAAAAATTAAAAGTGCACCATGAATAGCAAAGGGTTTATTCAAATTGTTAGTTCTCTTTCAGACTTCTCAGCACAGTATATAGGAAGACAGCAAACTAGCAAAATTGAGTGTTAACTCAAGCAAACCAACAGGTAAAACAGGAAACCAATACAGATTTTGACAATATAACTTCATGCCAAGTTTTAAGAATATTCAAAGGTATAGGGGCGCCTGGTAGCTCAGTTGGTTAAGCGTCCGACTTCGGCTCAGGTCATGATCTCACGGTTAGTGGGTTGAAGCCCTGTGTCGGGCTCTGTGCTGACAGCCAGCTCAGAGCTTGGAGCCTGTTTCAGATTCTGTATCTCCCTCTCTCTCTGACCCTCCCCTGCTCACGCTCTCTCTCTCTCAGAAATAAATAAAACATTCAAAAAAATTAAAAAAAAGAATATTCAGAGGTATCATAGTGACTTTTCTTCAGGATAAAATAGTGACTACCGCAGACTGAATATGTTGATTAAAAATTTTTATATGTCATTATCAGATGACAATGAACTCCTACAATATGGCCAATATAAGCCAAGATATATATTTGTGGAATATATAGTTATATGACCTCTTCATCAAACAGGATACAATTAAGTGTTGTATTTGTCATGTAACTACTTTAAACATCAAATTTCTCATTTCATTTCTTTTTTAAATTGTTTTAAAGTTTCTTTATTTTGAGAAGGAGCTGGAGTAAAGAGAGAGGGAAAGAGAGAGAGAACCCCAAGCAGGACTGATCCCACAAACCACGAGATCATGACCTGAGCTGATATCAAGAGTCAACTGTCTAACCAAACGAGCCACCCAGGGGCCCCTCAATTTTCTCATTTTAAAAAATTGATATAAAATATCAGGTTTTCCACCTGTAAGAGTTATTAAGGCTTAGCAAGGGGGCGCCTGAGTGGCTCAGTCAATTAAGCATCTGACTTCCACTTAGGTCATGATCTCATGGTTCGTGGGTTTGAGCCCCGCAGCAGGCTCTATGCTGACAGCTAGCTCAGAGTCTGGAGCCTGTTTTGGTTTCTGTGTCTCCCTCTTTCTGCCCCTCCTCCACTCATGCTCTCTCTGTCTATCTCTCTCAAAAATAGTAAACATTTTTTTTAGAATTAAAAAAATTAAGTCAATGGGCAAACTAAAATGCTGGACACTAAAGGACAATGACATATGGTCCAGCACTTCTCTGGAATGTGAATCACCAACGGTGGTAAATCATTTATGCTGGTATTGAACAACAAGACATGGAGAAATCTCAGTAGCAAAATGATTAGTCAAAACAATGCAAGTGGCTCTGCAAACAGTACTTCTAGTCTGCAACTAGATGAAAATGATGGATCATCTTTGGTTATGTGCACAAAAACCTCCACGTCACCCTACCTACAGCACAAATCAGGCTCCTTGGAGTGAGCCAAGCACTGTCCCTCTGGGCCAGGTACTAGTCTACAGGCATTGCATATATTACTTCACTTAATCTGCCCCCAAACACACTGAAGTACTACTCCAGGTTTATCAGATGAGAAAACTATCAGCTAAAGAGTGTATGGCTCCCAAGGCTATATAACCGGGAAGAGGAAGAGATGGAATTCAAAGTTCATGAACTGAGCCCTCAGTCATTTTGGTTTCCTCCCCTCCTAGCCCAAATCCTGGTTCTTATAATCATAGTCTGTTGAAGCCATTATGAAAGTAAAGTTAGGAATATACTTCTTATACTGGATTGAATAGTGTCCCCCCAAAATTCATGTCAACCTGGACCCACAGAATGTGATCTTGTTTGCACATGTAATTAGGGTCTTTGCACATGTTATTAGTTAAGATTGAGATCATCCCGGAATAGGGTGGGCTCGAAATACAATATGACTGGTGTTTTTATAAGAAAAAGGAGAAGAGACACAGGAACACACAGGGACATACAGGGAGAAGGCCATGTTGCAACAGAGGCACAGATGGGATTTATGTTGCTATAAACCAAGGAGTGCCAAGGCCTCCTGAATGGTGACATAATACATTTCTATTGTTTTGAGCCATCCGGTTTGTGGTACTTTGTTACAGAAGTCCCAGGAAACCAAAACACTTATATATAGCCCTATATTCTATGAGTAGATACATTGCCTCTATGATTCCACAAAAAACATACTTATTTTTATAGTGGCATACTATGGATGTCAGGAATTTAACAGAAGTTGTTTTATTTACACACCATATGCTGATGATTTAAGTTTCATCTCTATTTTGCAGGTGAGAGAACAAACTCAGAGAATTCAGTGACTTGTCCCAAATTAAATTAAATGGATACTAGCAAAGCCAAGATGCAGCTTGCGTCGGTCTGGCCCTGGACGTCTTCCTCCTTCGATTTTGATCCGGGGCCCTCATTTGCCCTAGGAGACCCTGCTCACCTAACTTGCCTTCTTTCCCACTTGCATCTGAATCTGTCCTTCTCTCTCCCTATAAATGTGCTCTCTCTAATCAAAAAATTCTTTGCCCAATTGCATTCAGCTTCATTCAGCCAGAAGTCTGAAATAAAGAGTCCACCCTTGTTGATGTACTCCCTTACCACCTTCTCGGGTACAGCTCGTCTGATACTGGACTCCAACTTTAAACATGATACTAAAACCTGTGCGTCTCATATAAAATCATTAAACTTTCAAATAGAACCGTGTCTGTGAAAATGTCAATCCATTCCAATTAGGATGGATTACTCCCTGCTAGCGTTTTCCTCTTTGCTCATGCTGTATTTTTTTTTTTTTTTTTTACTTTGGAAAGACCTGGTCTGTGTGTCTCAATTTTATTTCATTGAAGTCCTACTAGTTGTTTTGAGTTTAATTCAA